CAGATATGATTGAAGTGATCGACCAGATTGTTGGTGTTGGAATGATGATAGCGATGATAGTGAAAGACTATATCATTCGTGATGGCTATTACAGCACTTAGGAATGCTGATGAGACTTTGAGTAACAGGCTGTTAATTGCAATGATCCTGAAAGTTTTGCCCGAATCATTTATGCCGTTTGCCATCCACATAACACAGAGTGATGAGCAGATGACTTTTGGCAAGTTCAAAACCAAGTTGAGGAGCTATGAAAGCACCGAGACATTTTGCGCCATTTCCACTGACGACAATGAAGGTAAGTAACATTAGCGCTAGCTGGCCAAGAGGAAAAGATAAAGAGCATGAGATAATCTGCTATAACTGCGTCCAAAAAGGGCACAAAAATGTATGTTTACTGGCGAGCGCAGAGAACAGAGACAGTGGTGTAGATTTCTTGTAAGAGCGTAAAGCCCTCATAAAGATGCAAATTGCAGACGACAAAGAAGAGACAATGTGAAACACAATACAGATGCTGCAGGCCAGACATTTGCATTCAAAATAAGTGACCTACCGGTTTGTGGACGGAAACAGAAAGGGCTGATGGTTGATACGGGAGCAACATCACATAGAGTCACGGACATCTGAAAGTTTAAGGAGTCTGATGAGACTTTCAAACCTGAGAAACATTCCATGGAGCTGGCTGACCGAACAAGAACAAATGGTGTCACAGAGAGGAGAGGTGCGGCGGTGGTCTACGAGAGAGACAACACAGGTTGTCAAGTGAAAACAACGCTGACGAAGGCGCTGTATGCACCATCGTTTCCACAGGACATTTTCTCCGTTAAAGCAGTGACAGCCAACGAAGCTTCAGTCAATTTTCGACAGGGGTGTGACCAGCTCATCCACATGAATGATACCACTTTTGACATCAAGGAGAACGATAGACTTTACTATCTCAACACCGTAAGTGATGATAATGATGATGGATTTCATGGGTGCTATGATATCTATACATGGCACAAAATTCTTGGTCACTGTAATTTTGAAGATGTGTCAAAGTTCGAAAATGTGACAGAGGGAATGAAAATCACAGTTAAGATTTACCAATCTAGTCTAAGCTGTGAAATCTGCACACAGGGAAAATTCACGCAGACCAGAAACCGAGATCCTGATGTAACACTCTAGCATTTACTGATTATTATTATGGGGCAGTTTTTGTATACTTCCTGAAAGCAAAGAGTGATACAGTAAAAGCCACTGAGAAGATTATTGCTGATGTGGCTCCTTATGGGAAAATAAAGTGTGTCAGGTCAGATAATGGCTCAGAGTTCACAGCAAAAGACTGCCAGTCACTACTCAGTAAGAAAGCCATAAGACATGAAACTTCAGCTCCTGACTCACTCCATCAAAATGGGACTGCTAAAAGGAATTAGAGAACACTGTTTGAAATGGCAAGATGCATGCTACTTGAGAGGGACTTACCAAAGAAGTTATGGACATATACTGTAATGACTGCTGCAGTAATTCGCAACAGTCAGAGTACTCAAAGAAAGAAGAAACCCCATACTTAAAAGACTATGAGTGTAAAGTGAAGTGTGATGACCAAATACCAACCACTGTTGACTACTGTTACAGAGTAACATGTAATGTACCACAAACCTTCAAAGAAGCAATGACTTCACCAAAATCAGAGATTTGGGCTACTGGTATGAAGGAGTAGATGGATTCACTTAGCGAAAATTATACATTCATGTTGACCACTCTGCCAGAGGGTAAAAATGCAGTGGGGGGAAGGTGGGTCTATGCGATCAATAACAATTCAGATGAGACTAAGACATACAAGGTCAGATACTTTGCTAAAGGGTATGGTCAAGTAGAAGGAATAGACTATAAAGAGACCTTTTCTCCAACTGAAAACATGACATCAGTACGCTGTTTAATGCAGCTAGCATTTTATGACTTTTACATTAAGGAGATTTACATCAGATGGATGTTAAAACAGCATATTTACATGCTCCTATTGACTGTGAAGTGTATATGGAGCAACCAGAAGGTTTTGAGGTCAGACACAGGTGAGCACTAGTCTGCAAACTGAGAACACACAGAACCCTGCTGACCACTGTGTTTATAACAAACAAACTGAGACAGAAAGGATCATTCTGATAAGTTGGGTTGATGATGTAATTATCGCTGCTAGCGACAGTGACTCACTTTAAAGCCTAAAAGAAATGTTAAGTGAAAAATTCAAGATGAAAGATCTTGGGAGGCTTAAGCATTGATTTTATGAGAATGAGAAAGTAAGTACATAACCAAGATACTGGAGAGGTTTGGTATGTCAGACTGTAAAACAAGGTCAGTGTGAACAAAAACAAAACTTTGATGGCGCTGGTGAACGTATTTATTCAAAGAGAAGTGATTGGCAGCCTGATATATGTGATGACATGCACAAGACCTGATATCAGTTGGATTGTCAGCAAGCTATCAGAATACCTATCAGAACCAAAAGAGCAACACTGGATAACAGCTAAACATGTGTTGAGGTACTCGAAGGGCACAATGTATCAAGAGTTGTGCTACAGAAAGAGGGAGGGAAAACTTAACCTTGTAGCATATAGAGATGTTGATTGGGCAACAGATCAAAGTGACAGACAGCATAACAGGGTATTGTTTTAGTTTAACTAGATGTGGACCTGTTATTTCATGGAGATCTGAGAAGCAACCAATGGTAGCTTTATCTACATGTGAAGCAGAGTACAAAGTTTGTACCTTGTACAGTTATTGAGTGAGATGGAGAGTGAGTGCCTATATGCACCAGTAAAAATCTTTGAAGATAACCAGGGTGCAATTGCTCTATCAAAAAACCCAGCATGTCGTCAGAGATGTAAACATGTCGACAAACGGTATCATTTCATTCGGTCTGCACTCAGTGATGGTAAAGTAATCAGTGAATATTGTAAGACAACATGGTTGCAGATGTTTTGAAATAAGAAATTCATGGGTTACATGTTTGGACTACCAGACGTTTGTGAAATGTATAACTGTGAACTAAGTTGATAAAGTTAGATTTAATACGACTTGTATAGTATAAGAGCAAGTGGGGGTGTTAACATCTATACTAGTATGTTATTTAAGTGTGTTCTTATACTGATACATTTATGCCCTGTAAGGGATGTACAACTGCGCATGTGGATGGCTCGATAGCACTTTTTCATGTCCGATATTAATAATGATTCCTGGGCTTTGGGTACTGGCCAATAACAAGTTCGATATGATACCAGTGTAAAATGAATAAGCTGTGCAGTATTTCCCACACATACAGTAGACTTTACTTGGACCAGCCGCCCAGGTATATTTGGTGACCCATTTTAGCATTTTGGAGAGAAAGATTAACAAGACACAGACACAGTGGTTCTGTGGGAAAACTGCTGTGTTGCTCACTGTGAGGAAGAGCCTAGGAGTCATTCATCATGTGTAGGGCAACATTATTTAAGATTTGGTGCAAACTGGCGCCCCTCCTGATCAGAGTGTAATTCACTGCTGTCATGAAACGGGACAGCTGCAGACATGCATTTGTTATGATTAAACTGCATCAAAAAGTAGCAAGTCAGCAAGAATGCCAGCTCTCCGTCTCGAACATCCTCTTTTCGATCTCTTAACCTCTGAGAAGTCAGGGTAGTCCAGGTGTTAATGGTCAGGCCAAGCCCCTATCAGTCCAGCGACCTTCTCAGGGGTGGCCCACCATTCTGTAACTAAGGTGATGTGGTGGTCGGGTGGCTTTGGCTTCGGCTAGGGCGAACAGTCATCGAGCCTCACACGCTGTAGGCCTACCCAAAGAGTCAAGTACAGGGCGGAGCCTGTGTGAGATAGAATGAAGGTTACGATATGGTAACCCTAGTTCTATAAGCATAGGCGGAGCCCTCTACCGATGAACCCTGCCGCTCCTACACTGTCTGCTGAAGAGGTGGTCGGATGCTAAGGCAGTAGGGACACATGCCCAAATTAATAAGTCACACACGTATCGGTAGTGATGTCCTATTGATCGGCTACATGCACAATAAAAATTTCAGTGGGCAAGCGCTTGATTGGAGGAGGTATTACCCACAGAGTCACAGATTCCAGTAAAGGGCTCTGCCTGTGCTTATAGAACTAAAACTAACCAGGGAAACCTTGGAGAGTACTGTTGTCACCAAATTCATAAGGTAGCCTGTGGGCACTGTCTCTAAAAAAACATCTGTGAATGGTTAGTACATCCGGCCAATTAGGCCATTAATGTTTGTTTCTTTTTAGAGAAAATATCCAGCTGCCACAAGTTGCCATCCCAGACATTGCTCATGGGATTCCTCTCATATCGGCAGTGACCTCGTTGTACACCCAGCTGCAGCTCTCTGCTCATCCCACTGGCTTGTCTCTCCAGGGGAAGTCTTTTTATTTTAGAGAATCACAAAAACATACTTTCCATTTCTATTTTTGATTTTGATTCTCCAGGCACTTTGGCTGTGAACTCGCAATTGACAACAGACACAAAGTGGAAAACTCAGTAGAAAAAAGAGAGCGAGGACACATATTCAATACTTATTTTCTCTTATTTTCAGTTTATTTGAATCACTGAATGATTTCTGAACATTTCTGATTGCTCAGGTTGATTGAAGAAGTTACTGTATTATCAAGGACAATTCAGTTCTTTAAATCAGTGGCTAATTGGAACAAACATTGAGCTGGTAAAGCACTGATGTAATTTAAAGCCTCACAGACTCCAGTTCATTTGTCACAGACTGAACTGCCAAAGTGACAAACAAAATGACACGGCTGACATGAGCTGAAGTGACATCTCTTCAGTCTCCTGTGTTGTTCCTGCCAGTGACACAGCATCAGCCTGTGTGACTCTAATTCTCCTGATGGGACTGCAGAGACCCCCTGCTCTTCCCCAATGAAAATCAAACACAGATTTCATAATGACAACAAGACAATACCCAACATTTCAAGAGTGGGAAGCCTTTTATTTCCTGATGAGTTTTTTTTCTGCTATGGAGGCCAAACAAAAGATTCTAAGACTTTATTCAATATGCATTTCTGATTTATTTTTGTAGGAAAATAGGTCTTTTCACATGCAACTGAAAAATTTCCATCAACAAATATGAAAAAAAAATCTTTTGCCAGGGGATACCAGAATGGCACTCAAACAAATTTTACAAAAGCATAGAAAAACACACAATTACATGTATGAATCAGAGTTTTACTGGTAATACCACTATTTTTAGTGTCACTTCCCACACTGGGGATTATAAGATGCTTGTAGGGAAACAAAACAGCCTCACAACAGTCATTCTTCTAAACACAGACATTGTTTTACATAGACAAACAGATGCTGAGGGTGGACATTGTGGTATCCCTGATGAATAGACCCACAAAAGAGTTCATGTGATCCAACCAATTTTAATTGTCTGTCTGTGTTAATCTACAGTACAGACACAAATCACAAAGGAATAATTGTCTATGTGGGTATTATTTCAACACATACGTTGTGATTACACCAATCCTGCTGTAGCTGTGTACAACAGGGTCACAGCTGCAGTTAAATAGAATAACTTTCTCTTTCGCTCATAATTCCTTCAGCTGCTGGATATGAGTGATAATCAAATGGCTTTCAGTTCCAAAGCATGTCTCCATCCTAAAGTATGTGGGTGCTCACATGTTTATTGTCGATGTCAAGTGAAAACTCAAATTTAGGGGATTTTATGTCACCACCTTTAATTTATTGTGCTACCATGAAAAAAAAAATCCTGCACACAGTCAGTACCATGTTTATTGAGCAATATGTTTTAGCTGAAATTATATTGGCAAAGTATGATCAGCTGTCAATGTATGTAAACAAAGAACAGTTATTGTGTGTTTAACTGGCCAACAACCTTATTTATCATTATCTCGTAACTGCATTGTCACAAACTCAAAACACACATTGGGTCATCAATTTTAGACTATTAGTACCAAATCACACAGGGCACATTTACTTACGGTGTGTCCTGTGTTTGTATAGTTGTTCTTTAAAAAGCCCTAGTTACATTCTGGATACACACGGTTCACAATAAGCAGGACCTTAAACACAATAAAAAGGTAATTGTAATAGTAATTTATGTCCAGAGAGAAAATTTCTTTCTAGATTATTATTATTTTCTACCTCAGGATCTCAATAGACAAAAGAAACAAGGGTAAACAATTACACAACCATGTCACTAGATAATTATTTTCTTCTTTTTGGATAGCTGCCTGAATTCCTTACTTTCTCCTATAAACAGACAAGTCTGAGCCACACAACAGAGAATAGTTTTGGAAATGTAAGGCCAGGCTGCCAGTCATGCAGACTCTGAGCAGATGGGGTCCTTCAGTTCCCCCCATCATGGCACCTGCTCAAATCATTCTTTTCTTTAGGGCTGAGGCGCTCCTTCATTTGACAGGTAGTCGCCCTATAGTGGGCCAGCTAAAAAGCTGAAGTAAAAGCTCGCTCTGGGGCCCTATAGTGGCTTTATACTTCAGTTTGTTTACTGCTCCAAAAAAGCAGTAAATACTTGGTAAATAACTTTGCTCTCTGCGGAAAAATTTAATGAGAGCTGATTGGCCTCCAGGGGAAGATAATGACACTGACTGGAAACTCAGTAAATCACCTGTGGCTTATACAGATCAGGCAGTGTCAGTGAAGCCAATGTCAATCTCTGCTCTGGGGAGCAACTGACTGAAGTACTTTTGGTAATTTAGCGCTGCTGGCTGTCTGGTTGAACAGACTTGTGGAACCCAGTGGTGAACAAACCAATCTCCAGACTCTTTCTATTTTATAGTTGTTTTGTACTAATTTGTTTATCGTGAAGGAAGTCACGTAACAATGTATAATGTAGTTCAATCTTCAATCTTTGCTGGGAAAGACTCAGATCTTTCAGTTTATTAAATCAAGAACATTATTTGGTAGATTGTCAAATCTGGACCCCCTCCCAATTTACCTTCATGAAATGAGCAAGTGACCGGAACTGCTGCTAGTTGGAAAGCTACTCTGGACAAAGCTTAGAATGGTTTGAATAATTTGGCACTTTACGTCCTTTTCTCAGGGGTTCCATCAGCCACTTTGTCTCTGCACACAGCTGTTCATCAGACAATGTTGGAAAAGGAGTAACACTGTTTATTAAAAACACAGCCCAAAGGGTTGATACATACATTAAATACTGATACTGTAACATACAGGAAAAAGTCTGGCTTTTTTTCTTTACATCATTAAGTCACTGTAGCCGACATATTAGAAAAATATACTATGTAATATTTCACATTTTTACAATTGGAAGGCAATTTATAACACAATAACCATACATGTCCATAACTAATTCATTTTTAAAAGAAGTTGCGTTGTTTTTCTTTATTTTACAAAAACGGCATTGAAAAAAAGAGTGTTTTCATATAAAACACTAACTTGAACATAAAAAACAAGTGGCTTTTACAAAAAGGTTAGTGTTATGTAGGCATTTTTCCACAACTGGAGTAGCATGGCCACAGTATTCCAAAGCTACAAACAACCAGGCTTCAAAGCAGCCCAGCATCAAATCTTGGCACTGACACTTGCATCACACAGACAGTGTTTGGTCTCACTATATTATAGTAATGGCTTGAAACCTTTTCCATTACAACGTGGTGAAATTGCAGCCTTGTATATCTAACACTGAATGTGTAGTGTTGGGAAGACATAACTGACGCAAGGCTTGTCAATAGAAAAGGAACACTACACCTGGTTAAGGTGTTGCTGGATGCAGGTAGCATTGGCAACTGGTATCTACTCCCAAATAATGGAAGTCCTGTAGACAATACCACCAGGGGGCAGTAAACTACAAGGCATATGGATCACCAGTGGAGTGCTGAGCAGCCTTGTTCAATAGCCATGAGGAGCCAGAGATAGAAACTGAGAAGCTGAAGGTAGAAAAACTGGATTGCTTATGCTCCTTCTTAAAATGAAAATCTTTTTCTAAGGAAATTTCAGATTTAAACTGAATAAAAAATGACACTGTACTCCACGGTTTCTGAGCAGCAGCTAGTGTAGTACAGTTATAAAAAAAACTAAACTAAACAAACCACAGGAAACATATACAAACACTGTCAAATGCAAAGTCACAGCAACGTAACACTGATCGACACTGGAGAGAAAGCAGACAGAACATGACAGGACACGGTCTTCAGGAAGGTGATGTTCTTACTATAATAGTAGAGCCACTGCTTTAGGTGCTGCCGCTGAATTACGTTTCTTATTATTGTATTTATGTTGTTGTGATGTTCCTTGATAATGTCATTACAGCACAAAGTCATTTCTTTAGCCTTACCAGGTAAAAGTGATGGCATGGTATCCCTGTGCCTTTGTATTATGATGATACTTTATTTTGATGTCATTGTATTTTGATGTCCCAAGAATTAGGATGCCAATCTATTATTGGAGATGGTGTCTTTCTCAGAGAAGCAGCCAGAAAATGAGCTAAGCCAAATCTGTGATCAATCTGATTTGCAATAGAACTCATTATCATTCAGTAATTTTCCAAAGTATAAATCCCAAAGAAAGGATGAACGGGGAGACAACAGAGGTCAATAATCTGCTTCAGAAGTTGAGGAGAACAAGACATGTAAACGACAGACTGTAGCATACACAGTTTGTATTGGTGTGATGTTTCAAGTTAGACAGTGATAGCCCAGACAACACAAATTGTCAGCTGCAACATCACCTGTTTTTACACACCCTATAACACAAATGCACATCTTCTTCAGCTTGCAGGATTCTTTAAGGCACAGTGGTGTTTAAATATCCAAGGAAATTTGCAACTACTCGTCAACCAATCTCTAATATATACATGGTTTCAAAACATGTCACTGTATCTGGGGTTAAATCCATACGGAGGGCTTGCCCTCTCCTGATTTGCTGCTGCTGCTGTTGCTGCTGCTGCCTCCTCCACTGCTGCCTCCTTTCCCGTGCTTGAATCTGTGCTTGCGCTCTTTCTGAGGCTGCGGCTGTGGCTGAGGTTGGGCCTGGATGATGTTACTTTGAGGCTTGTCATCCTGGTTGTCCCCAAGCTGCTCCTCTGCCCGATGCTGCTGACTATAGGCCTGGATGGCCGCTTCTAGTTGCTCATGAGCTTGCTGGATCATGTCTTTGTTCAAAGCCACGCGGGCCTCCCCTCCAGTGGGAAAGTTATCCTCATTGCTACCAAATTGCTGCTGCTCCTCTTGGGCAATGTTGGCCCGGTTCTGCTTGCATGCCATCTTAGCATTGCTAAGGTCTGTGTAGGGCATCTGCTCTGGCTTTACCACAATGTTGTAGCCAGGTGGAGCTGATGGGGTGTTCCACGAGAAGGGGTAACCTACGTAATCGGCAGCCCCATCTCCACCCACCCCTCCCTCAGAACCTGCCTCAGGCCCCGTCCCCCCTACTGAAGTCTCCACACCAACATTGGATCCCAGCAAACCCAACTGGTACTCATCCTCCTGAGGTGGGCAGCGCCTACGGCGAAGAATGTCACAAATGGAACCAATCCCTAAATGGAGCATCTCCCAAACATTGAGCGTGAGGCAAAGGACAGTAACACCATACATGATACGCAGGAAGATGGTCTTCTCTGTAGGCCGCGACACAAAACAGTCAACGCTGTGGGGACAAGGCTTCCCCGAGCATACGAACACAGGCGTCACACGAAACCCATACAGCAAATACTGGCCTGCAAGGAAACCTGCTTCTAGCACTGTACGAGTCACCAGCTGCAAAACATAGACCCGCATCAGCCCCTCATCTTGGATACGCTTGCGCCCATCATGCCGGACTTTGGGCCTTGGTGTGGGTTGCAGTGGGTCCCGCGGCCTTTTTGGGGGCTCAATCTCTGGCACCTCATAGATCATGGGATCATCCTCCTGGTCCTCCTCGGCCTCCTCAATGCCTCGGTGTTGCCGTGCTCCAAAGCAGATTTTCCTGGGCTTCCTGTGCGTGTAGCCCCCTCCACCCGTTCTGACTGCAGCAGAACCACCTCCTCCTTTGGCTTCATCTAATCGTGCAATCTTGTTGACAGCATAGCCCATGTACATGAGAGAAGGCATCGCCACCAAAATAATCTGGAAGACCCAGAAGCGGACATGAGATAGAGGGGCGAAGGCATCGTAGCAGACATTCTCGCAGCCTGGCTGGCCCGAGTTGCACACAAACTTGCTCTGTTCGTCGTAGTAGATGGACTCTCCCCCAACGGCAGTGAGAACGATGCGGAAGACGATGAGCACGGTGAGCCACAGCTTCCCCACGAAGGTGGAGTGGTTGTGGATCTCCTCCAGCAGCCGCGTGAGGAAGCTCCAGCTCATGGTGTCGCTGGACAGTGGGGCAGACAGTGTCCCTCTCTCACCTGCTCACAGACTCTGGAGGAAGTAAAGGAGGAGGAAAGGGGAAGACCAGATGGAGAAAAAGGAAGACTGTGAGTTCACAATAGATGCAAGTTTCAAAACATGGTTAAAGCAAATAGCATGATCTGTGGAGATATTTCTGGTGTGACTTTTATCCCTGTGGATATAGTATTAGTTCTGCAAATTCAGACATAACAATTGCCTTAATTCAAATGAGAGTTCCTCTCTGTGCTCAGGCCATCGATACATCCTTAATTTGATCTGTTGCTTCTTGCAGCACAAATACACACACTGAATTTGAAGCTCAGTACCACAGTGAGGTTGCTGTCAAGTTCGGGCTTTTTAGGGAATTAGAAGACCAAACAGGGTGGAAAGAGGATATTGGTATTAAAAAACACCATCTAGAAGCACTGAGAAGGAGGCGAAATAATCCAAATAGGGAATTTGCTATCATCAAATACACACACAATTTATTTAACAGCCTATCTCTTTTTGAAGAAATAAATCCTCTTAGTGAGCCTTCTTCTGTGTGAGATGCAGTTTTCAGGATTGTATTAACTTGACTGGTTTGTTCTGGTTGAGAGGTAAATGGCATTGTGCTGTGATTATGTGCATGTGTGTGTGTGTGTGTGTGTGTGTGCATTTGAGCACAATTTAGGAAGAGGGACACATTGCCTATGTAGGTTAGGTCTGGGCTCCAGGCAGTCTACCCAAACCAGCAGAATCAGCAGGTGGCCAGGCACAAACCGTTGGAGCGGGGAGTCAGACAGCAGACCCACATTAGCTTAGGCAGTGGAGCTGAACCCAAACACTGCTGTCCCTCAGGGCGGCTTTGGGGGATGAGTATGACACCTCCACAGAACTTTCCCCCTTATGAAGCCGCAATAGTGCATGGCTTATTGTCAGCTAGACTGAGAGGAAAATCCAACCATGAATACTAGCTTAGTTTGGGGTTTAAAAGGCTTCCAGGGACGATATCCTTACCAAGCAGGTTGAGAGCTTAGTTGGAGCGAGCTGGAGATGCAGCGAGAGGGAAAATTTAGCTGGGGGAGACAAGCAGGAGCTTCCAGCCCACATTTTTGTGTGTCTAGTGGGAGTGGAGAGGGCGGGATTGTTTCAAAGAAGGCTTGCGATGAAACATGTGTCATATTGATCACTCTGACCATATAAGGACATGCCTGGGACACAGGAGGTAGATGTCAGGAATCCTTTGTGTGTACATACACACTCTGGTACAGTATATCATTCCAGTATATTAGACCAAGTAGTGAAGTCCATGTGAGTGTGCTAACTGTGAGCGTCGATGACCGACATGTATGAGTAAGCAGCAAATGGACGCAAAGGAGCGTGAGGTTGCCACAAGCACACAGAGTCATAGCAGTGTCCTTCCGCAGTCGAGCTCTGTCTGACTTTTCCCGTATTACATCATCGCATTTCTTTACATAACTCTTACTGTGCTGCACAGTTGTCCTTTAGGTAATAATAACCAGATTCACTCACAGACAAAAAGCCAGCTGTAAAGGTAAAACTTAAGGCTACTGTGGTAAATGTATTATTAGTATAGTATGTTCTGGTTTTTTTTCTACTTTTCCTATCTACTGTATTTGTCCGTGTTGTACTTTAATTGCAACTGTGGGTGTAATTTTGTACTTTATTGAATACTTTTGATGTTCAATGTGTTATTCACACAGTATTTTTTGTAATGTGGTCCTTGTATAGTGGCACAGTTTTTGTCTTCTACGGTCTATCAAATGTTGCTGTCCACCTGTTAAAGTTTTTTGGATGTGTTAGTGCTCACTACTCTGGTCTACTTCTCCCTACTCTTGATGTTCAGTCTATTCGTAAGTGGTGTGGTGCAATCTTTTACTGCACAGCAGGAATTTGTACCCGCTGGTGGGTCAGAAGTGTTTTTAATTTCAAAACATGGCTTAAAACCTCGTTAAACCTGACAAATAGTTTTCAAAAGAGTCATATTTGTTGTGATGTATTTAATGCACTTTTGTAGCTGATGACAGCTGAAAACAGTACTTCCACAGACAGAGGAACATCAATGTGTCCTTTGATGAAGCTTTGTATTTACTTGGAAGAGTTCCTAGGATAGTTTGTGCACTACGAACTGTCACACTCCCTCCTGACCAGGAGAGTCGCTCCAGTTCAGGCACACGGCTGCCTGGGCTTAATACTCCTGCGCTACCTCGGCTACCTCAGCCACATATAACCTGGCATTTTGCTTTCTCATCCAATTTATGTCTGTGGGAGCTAGTGGGGCAGTTAGGGGTAAGAAGCTGACTCTGTGCATTAAGTTACTGAGGTGAGTCAGCCTCCCAAAGAGCACTGCACAGGCACAGCAGGCAGGCTTTCTGTCTGTTGCTCTGATATAAACGATGAACAGCAAATTGGTGGAAATAATGTCACATGTGAAAAAATCAAAAAGCGCACGAGACTTTGGTTCTAAAGTCAGAAAAGAAAACAAATGTGAGTAAAACTCCCACAGTAATTTTATATAATAGGAGATTAATGAGCTTTGAAAGGGAATAACTTTCAGGATCAATGGCTATATAGCCACCAGCCCAGAAGGTCATGATTGTGTAATCTTGGGTCATCAAACGATCAGTCTCTCTGATACATCTGAGCCCATGACATAGTTCATAGCCCTACCAGAACAGTATCAGATCAAAGATCAAAGGTCAGCAAGATCAGTTCCTGAGGGGTAAACCCTCCGCACCACGACCTTGCGTGCCAATTCAAACAGACAGTTACAATTACAGTTAGCGTCACTGGAGGGATCCCCTCAGTCACTGGCTTTCATCCCCTGGGATCCACAGAGACTTACAGATGGGCAGACACACACACACACACACACACACACACACACACATGTGCAACAGCCTTAAAAAGCATGCAGAGTAGAACCACAATGTCCCTGTACATAAACACACGACGACACATGACTGAGTAAAACTACATTGGGGTTAGCTGAGGTGTTCCTTATTCACAGTAGTGAGTCATCATTGTTGACACAGCGCTCTAGCTGAAGGGCCCTGCGCTTGGGAGGTACACCAGGGGAATGAGCCCACCACAGAACAAACCCCGACCTGTGCAGGGGACCACTGCAAGTGGACAAGTGGTGTGATTTTGTATGGAGATGTGCTGTAACTGCATGCATAATTGAGGGGAGTTCGATGCAGCAACAGGTGAAAATACAAAAACAGGTGCCAGGTCATGGTTTTCATATTTCAGCAACACCATCGATGACCTCCCTTTGAGTCAACAGATAATAAATTTGGGTTCTTTTAGGACCAAGTCATGTATTTAAATGTAACATATAAGTTAGCCAGTTACTTGGAGAAAGCCTTTGAGATGGGGATATCAGGATACACTTTAGGGTTGAAGCACTTCTTTTCTTTCTTAGGGTAAGAGAATCTGCAAATGCACATGATGAATTTGGTACTTCATTTTGAAGACCTGTTTCCTTGATGTTTCTCGCTTGCCTACACAAGATTTTGAAGGTTTTATTTGTCGAATGCTGAGCAGTTTGCTGCACTGTTAATAAAGGAAGTTAAAAAATAAAAAAATATTTTTTTTTCTTCTATTTTTTGTATCCTCTCTCACTGCCTCTGTTCGTCTACAGATTACACATTTCTGCTTGGCTTTGATATATGGAGAACTGTATAAACACACTATATAAACACACACACATACACACACACACACACATACACACACATACGCACACACATGCGCACACACATTAACCCATACCCTAACCCTTACCTTACCCTAATTCTAACCTGGACCCTAAAACCAAGTCTTAACCCTCAAAAAGCAGTCTCTACCCTTCAGTGTGCATTCAGGTTAAAGTCCCTACCGGGATAAAAATATTAACAACACACACAAAGCCACGATCATATTAAGAAAAACAGGCCAAGGGCAGTTTGGATAAGGAACATAATGTATGGTGGAAAAAAGCCCTAATAAGTGAATGTAAGGGAATGGATTTATCAGCTTCTGGATGAATTTTATTAAAGTAAAGCATACTAACATGTACATTTATAGACAAAAGAAGCATATTAAACATCTACATAAAAGTATTATTGTACACATTACATTTTGTACATTATATATTGTCTCATGTGGCTGCTGTATGTAAAGCAGATGCAGATAGTATTACGACATTGGATCATTTCCTAGTTATTTTCAGTGTTATTGTGTCTCTGCCTCTCTGCTAACCTCACGCAGTGTTCATTCTTAGACAAACATCCGTACAGATGAGGCAGCCGCTATCCGTCAGCTCACAGAACAGATGAACTTTTCCCCCCTGCAGTGTATGAGGGGCTTGGGATAAACATTTCCTCAGTCTGCTTCAGCATGTTATTATCAATTGGATTTTGCTTAGTGTTTTTAAAGTTACTGTAAATGATCTGAAGGCAGATCCAGTAAAAAAAAAAGATCAGCGCTTTCTTCAGCCAAGATCGATTTAGCCCCGATGCTGCTGATCTGCTGACTTTAAAACAATGTGATTATGATTGCATCTTTGCTTCTGTACAGTGCTGCTCAATAGGGTTTGTCTACAACTTTTGATAACTCGTATGATTTAGCCTTTCCCTGCAGGCTCTCATTTGAAAAAGATCCTTTCCATCATCACAATGGCCCAAAGCATGTTAGGGGATTACACGACCAGAGAACATTACATTAAGCCCTTCAGTATTATAAATATCAGGCAACAATTGTTATCTCTCATCTTAAGCAATGGCATGAAGGACACGCAAGGGACTAGCTTGAGTAATCTAAAAATACGACCATTAGACACAACACTAGAAAGCAACAATAATATTAACCTGTTAACCTGTTAACCTGTTAACTCAAACCTTCTCTATTCACAGAGAAATGGATTTAGATCATTTGTTGCTGAAACTCAACATTCAGCCGTTGTTGCTGTACAGTATAATTTTGTGGGTAACATTGAGCCAAAGTCAGAATGGGGAGGTGGTGAGAAAAAGAGAGAAAGGTTAATT